TCCTGAGAGACTTTGAGGGACCCTACTAAGGGAAAAGGAGTTTTGAGTTTGTAACAATTAAGGTCTCAGTGCCTTGGGGGGATTGCCTGCACTGAAGTACTTTCTTTTCTCTCTCTCTCCCTTCTTTGTAAATGAAACTAAGGCTAGAACTAGTTCATTATCCACAATGTTGATATTGATTTTTGTTTACAAGGTGGAGTATTAACAGATTAGAATGGCTGCTGGCAATTCTCAGCTGCTTCATTGAATTTAAATAAATCAAGGGATAGCCCTGAAGATTTACTTGAGATTTTTAGGCTAAGTCAGACCTTACTGTGGTTGATTTTGACCAGATTCACTGTTTCCTCTGCAACATCAAGGTGGAAAAAATAGTCTTGAAGGCCCCTTTCCTACCTTTTTTGGGGGACAATTTATTTATTTATTCTCTTTATTGATTTTTTTGAGAGAGAGAGGACGGGAGAGGGAGAGGGAGATAGAAACATCGATGAGAGAGAACATCGATTGGCTGCCTCCTGCATGCCTCCACTGGGGATCGGGCCCACAGGCTAGGCATGTGCCCTGACCAGGAATCGAACCAGTGGCCTCTTCTTAGTGCATGGGTTTAGCCACACCGGCCGGGCTTCTCTACTTTTTATAAAACTAATTCCTATTTTAAAATGCACAGATAAGTGCCCTGGCCAGTGTGCTTAATTGGTCAGTTGGTTGGAGCATCATCCTATACAACAAAAATTGTGGGTTTGGTTCCCAGTCAGGGCACATACCTAGCTGTGGGTTCAGCCTGTAAGAGAAGGCAACCAGTCTCTCTGTCTCTCTCTTTCTCTCTCTCTGTCTTTCCTTCTCCCTCTCCCTCCTCCCTCCTCCCACCCCAAATCAGTAAGCAAGTCCTGGGGTAAACATTAAACAAAAAAAGCACAGATAAGAGGTGTTAAGAAATCCTCTGCAATACTATGCTGTTGCCTCTTCCTCTGCCAAAAGAAGTTTTTGAATGAAAACTATTGACTCTCACAAGCCCTGCTAGTGATGGTACTCATACATCATATGTTCAAGTGCAAGCTTGTGCAGAGTCCTTAAATATTTAACAGGCTGAATTTTACAAAGACAAAGAATCTTAATAATGACTTGGAAGGATTTGTGATGCTCCTGAGAAGTGAAGCATATTCCAAATCCAGCTCACCTGTTATGATGCTATATATTACTGTTACATTCCATATCTGGAGACTATAGGCAGGCATACCTTGGAGATATTTTGAGTTCGGTTCCAGACCATTGCAATAAAGCAAGTCATAATCTTTTTGCTGTTGGAAGGGTCTTGTCTTCAGTTTATAAAGAATGTGGCATCTGTGATGCGCAATACAAAGTGCAATAAAACAAGGTATGCCTGTATTTTAATTTTCAATTAAAATTGCTTCCTTTCCTCCTTGCCTCCCTCCTTGTTTTCTTCTTTCAGCACTTCCTCTCATCTAGTATATGCATTAGAAATTAATAATAATGATGATATAATGGCCACAATACTATTTGTTCCAAAGTGGAAGGATCCAGTAGTTGAGTTGGTGATAAGTGAGCAGCCTGGAGGGAACTATTTTCTCTCTTTATGGCTTTATGGGGCCCCAGGATTGAATTGTTTCAAATACAGCTGAAGGTAGGAAGGACAATTATTAATAGAAAATTAGCCCCTGCCTCCCCCTGCCCTGGCCGGTTTGACTCAGCAGTTGGCCTGCGGACCAGAGAAGGCCCAGGTTCGGTTCCCGCTAAGGGCATGTACCTTGGGTACAGTTTGATCCCGGCCCTGGTTGGGGTTGTGTGGGGGGCAACCACTCGATGTGTCTGTCTCACATCGATGTTTCTCTCTCTCTTCTTCCCTCTCTCCCTCCTGCTCTATCTCAAGATAAATGCAAAAATGTCCTCTGGTGAGGATAAAAAAAAAGAAAGAAAGAAAATTAGTCTCCCCCCCAAAAAAAAGCCCTTCCCAGATTCAGAGGATATTGTATCTGAGTTAATAAAAATACCAACATTAAGTCTTACAATAGTCTTTCATTTTTCATTGTACAGTATGATTTATTGTGGACTTTTTTTTTATTGCCTAATGAATGATGATAACCTTTTTGAGTGACTAGAAATAAAATAAATTTCATGGATGTTTGGTATTTTAACTCTTGACTCTACTGAGGTTGGTAGCCTTGTTGGAATTCATGATCGGGAGGGCAATTGGCCACTGGCTTCCTGTTTGAGGCCTTTATTTTTTATGAGTTCAAGTTAAATAGGAGGCATTGATTTGTTCCGGTATTTAGACTGGATAGATCCTGCATAAGTGCTGGGGAGAGAAACCTTTGTTAGAGGTTTTCTCAGTCTTGGTGAGAACAATGACCATGTTTACTAGGCATAGTAACTTTAATGGGGAGTTACAGTCAGGACCTTAGGAAAGACCCATCAGCAGAACAGTTTGAGGTCTCCTGCTTCCGGAAACATACCTGACTAAGGCTAAGGTTCAGGGAGCATTTGGCTCTAAACAGCATTTTTTTCCCCAGAGGACCAACTCATACTGTTCAACCCCCAAATTGTGCTCTCTGTATTTGTACCTGTGCCCACAGTCACCTTCACTTGCAGCCACCATTACCCATGAAGCAGCCTCAGAACAGCAGAGTCTTAGAGATCATCCTTTATCTTACTAAGGCCATTTAAATGACGCTTATTTTTCAACCTACCGTATTGAGAATTATCAAGTACCAAACTTCTTTTTAAATTACCTCTATAATTTTTTTTTCAAATTACCCTTATAAAACTAGGTGACAGGTAAATGAAAAAATGTGTTGCACTTAGTATTTTTCTTATTACTAAGCCTACAAACCCGTTGAACACTGTGAAGCTCTTGGAATCTCCTCCTCTGGTAGCTGCCAGCTCCTGGGTTTAAATTGCTTTATCTGATGGATAGAGATTGTTGCCTTTTCCTGGATTCAGTGGGGATAGGAGACCTTGAGGGTCATGAATGAGCCTGGGCAAAACTCCTTTGGAAAGTTTTTATGAAAGTAATTTCTCTGAAGTATTGATACTGAGAGTGTGCAGTTTCAGATAGAAGTGTCCTTATTATGACTGGACCTTTTGTTCTTCTCATCATTAGATTATTTATAGTGATTCAGGATCACTGTTTTCTGTCCCCCCATTCACCTTTTCTCATGTCAGTAGTATCAATTGGCAGCATTTTGAATATGAATATTTGGCAGAAGATTTAAATGTAGAAGTTCTTCAAATTAAAGAAACAAGCAAGCACCATAATGTTGATTGTCTGTGGCAGCAATTTTCAAACTTTTTCATCTCATGGCACACATAACTAATTACTAAAATTCTGTAGCACACCAAAAATATATTTTTGCTGATCTGAAAATAAAGGTATAATTATGATTCATTTACACTGGACGGCTATTGATGGCTGTTATCATTTTTTTATTTGACAATCTGAGTGAAAAGAGGTCAGTTATTGTATACCTGGCTAGTCAGGTATTGTATGTTTTAAAAATTCTTGGGGCACACTGGTTGAAAATTGCTGGTCTATAGTATATTACTTGTATAAGTGTATTATGTTGGGTTGTGAACAGCCACCTATAAATATAAACATGTAGGATTTTAAGTCTGGAAAGGACTTGTATCTTCCATTTTACAAATGAAGATTCTGAGACCCAGAGAGGTGTTGGCTTTTTCAAGGTCCCTGAGAATGAGCTGGAAAAGGAGGAAGTACCAGAAGCCCCATTTCCTGGTCCCCAGGCTGTTCTTTCTACTCCCCCACGATGCTTCTCTTGTACCTATGATCTCCCACTGCTCTCCAACACCCACCTTCTGCCCTGGAGGTAGAGAATAGACCCAGGTGGCAGGATACACCATGCCCACGCTCATCTTCATGCCTTTGACCCTTCTTTCTAGTCATGCCCATTGTGCCACAACCTACTCATCAATTTAAAAGACTGAGCAAATGTTTTACCTCCCACACTGATCTCACCTTCTTCTGAATACCTGAAGTTCACTCCTCAAGTGTGTTTTAGCCCTTTTAACAAGGTCTCTTTCCAGATTGTGGTGTTAATTTAAACCTTATAGGGCCTGTTATGATTCCTGGTGCCCAGTAGATGGGCTTTAACAAGATGGGCTCAGTGTCTTATGTTTTGATGCCCAGCTTTTCAGGTGTCTGTCTTCTCTTCAGCTAGCTACTAAGTTCCAGAAGGGCAGAAGGCATAGCTTCCTTGTCTGTCACCATAGCCCTAAGAAGAGTTGTTGGTTGAATCTTGGATTCAGTTTAAAATATAAGTTTGCTTGTTCCTGAAGCCTCAGAACATAGGCATCTTCATGGCTGCCTAAATACTCTGGTTTTATGGTACCTACCATTTGAAGAATGAAGAAGACAACAGGTCATAGTAATTAGTATACAGATTTCCCTTTCCACTCTTGGGTACTTTGCTACTTATTTGCAGTGGCAAGATAGTATGTGTTGGTGGGAGATACGAGCCAAGTAATTGTTAGGATTGCTGCAAAAATTACAGTGGAAGCAATCACCCTCCTGGGTTAGCTTTTTATAGGCAGAAAACCATGGGTGAAATTTTTGTTCCAAGATTCTCAAAGTCATCAGGATGTTGCGTTTTATCTTGTTGGGCTTCTGAAGTAATGCAGGTAACATCTATTGTGCAGGTATTTCAAGCCTTGAAATATGGAATTGCTGAGAGAAGTGAGCTAGTTAAGAGGGAGGAAACAATTTCTCGGATGTTGTGAAGTAAGACAGATTGTATGGCATTTTTTAACACTGGTTTGTAGTTTGCTCATAAAAGAGAATGCCTAACTGGAATGTATCTGGTGAAAATTAAACCATTAAACCTGCTCAAGTGAAAAGCAGTGGCCATCTGCCAAGTAAAAGCATCATCACCGTTTCGAAGTGAACTTCATCTGTGCTCCTGTCTGCACATGACAGTGTCTCCTGTGGAGAAACCATTTTCTGACTTCTGGTTTTCTTGCTGTTTTCACAGAGCCTAAGCCCTTGTGAAGCTGGCAATGACAAGTCTGAATGGTCGCCATGCCGAAAAAGCCATTGACATGCCAAAACCATCAGCCCCCAGAGTGCACGTGCAGAGGTCCGTGTCCCGAGACACTATCGCCATCCACTTCTCGGCATCCGGGGAGGAGGAGGAGGAAGAGGAGGAGGAGTTCAGGGAGTATCTTGAGGAGAGGCTGGACGACCAAAGCATTGTAACGGGGCTCGAAGCCAAGGAAGACCTCTATTTTGAACCTCGGGGTGACTATGACCTCCCCGGCCCTGCCTCCCAGCCCATCCTGGCAGACGGACTGTCCGGGTCCCCTGCCGTTTTGCCTGTCTCTGAGAACACTGTAAAGCTGTTGGAGGCCCCTCCTCTGGCGGTGCAAGTATTAAGTACAGTGCCATTGGCTCTGTCCCCAGGGTCATCTTCATCAGGGCCCTTAGCTAGTTCTCCCAGTGTGTCATCCCTCTCTGAGCAGAAAACCAGTTCTTCCTCTCCATTGTCCTCTCCTTCCAAGTCTCCTGTCCTCTCATCCAGTGCCTCATCCTCCACCCTTTCCAGCACGAAACCCTTCATGAGCCTTGTGAAGTCCTTGTCGACCGAGGTGGAGCCAAAAGAACCCCCACACCCTCCAAGGCACAGGCACTTGATGAAGACATTGGTCAAGTCTCTGTCCACAGACACCTCCAGGCAAGAGTCAGATACTGTGACCTATAAACCACCTGATTCCAAGCTGAATTTACACTTGTTCAAACAGTTTACCCAGCCACGAAACACAGGTGGAGATTCCAAAACTGCACCTTCTTCCCCACTAACGTCTCCCTCCGATACACGCTCCTTTTTTAAAGTGCCCGAAATGGAGGCAAAAATTGAAGACACTAAGCGACGCCTTTCAGAAGTCATATATGAGCCTTTTCAGCTCCTTAGCAAAATTATAGGGGAAGAAAGTGGCAGCCATAGGCCCAAAGCCTTATCTTCAAGTGCTTCAGAACTCTCCAATCTTTCCAGCTTGAATGGTCACTTGGAAAGCAATCACAACTACAGCATCAAGGAAGAGGAGTGTGATTCTGAGGGGGATGGTGACGGAAGCAATCCCAGCATCCCCAGAAGTGACTACCCAAAGCCCACTGATGAGCCCCCAAAAGAGGTAGAACAGAAAAGTTCCCAGGTGAGCAGTCTAAAGGATTTAGGCCTGAAGACAAGTTCTCTAGTCCTTGAGAAATGTTCTTTGTCTGCCTTGGTGAGCAAAGAAGACGAAGAGTTTTGTGAACTATACACTGAAGAGTTTGATTTGGAAATAGAGGGGGAGAATAAAGTTGATAAGCTCCTAGATACGCCTCTCAAGCCAGAGGAGCTGGCAGACGATGATCCGGCTCTTGACAGTGACGAAGAGGTGGACTCAGCCATGCAGCACCCAGACTTACCAGTGAAAACGCTGGGCTTCTTTATACTGTGTGTCTATGCGTATCTCATCCTCCCCCTCCCCCATTACGTGAGTGGACTCTTTCTGGGAATCGGCCTGGGATTCATGACTGCAGTTTGCATGATTTGGTTTTTTACACCACCAAGTGCTCATAAATATCACAGACTACATAAAAATCAAAAACACTGGAACACAAGCTCTCTGGATATCAAGGAACCAGAAATACTGAAGGTAAGCAAGCCTCTCCACCGCAGCTAGCTAGTGCACGCATTAGCTCCCAGAGAACCTTGTTTTAGACTCGCATTAATTGTTTTAGTCTGTTGAGTTCATTGTCACAGATTTTTGCATAAGCAATATTTTTAAGACTTGGGGATCTCTTCATTTTTCAGGCAACCAAGAGATTTATCAAGTAAACCTCATTATAGTTCAAGGTTTGCTGATTTACCAAGTAGTTTTTCAAGGATCTCCATGGCCCTAGAAAGTAGCATTTACATCCAGTTTCTGTGTCAGTTTCTCCCTAAACTTTCCAGGGATTTGCTACTTGCTGAGGATTCGCTATAGCTGACTTTGTTAGGATTAAATATTCTTGAGACCCTGAAGAAGGGTTAAATATTCCCTAATGCAAGAGAAGGAAAAGAGGAAGAGTAGGCAAATATGTCAGCAGTTGGCCACTGCTATTTTTCCTCTTTCCTGTGTGCACAGCACGACACGGGCTGGAGAAAGAGACATAACCTTTCAGTGCGTGTCAGATCTCAGGATCTGGGCCTCCTGAGGGGTGCCACTAGGGTTCAGGAAGACCGTATTAGAACTTCTATTTATATATTTTTTTGCATATTTAAAAATTTCTGTCTATTATGCATGTTTAATAATATACATGATATAAAAGTACACTTATAGCTCATATAGTTCTTAAGTTATAGGTATGTACACACATTTACATATATATGTTTTTTAGAAATTGTGGTAAAATAGACATAACAAAATTTGCCATCTTAACCATTTTTAAGTGTATAGTCCAGTGGTATTAAATACATTCACATTGTACAACCATCACCACCATCCATCCCTATAACTCTTTTTACCTTATAAAAGTGAAACTTTATACCTGTTAAGTAATAACTCCTCACTCTTTCCTCCCCCCAGCCCCTAGCAACCAGTTCTACTTGCTGTTTTTTTTGTTTGTTTGTTTTTTTAATATTCTGAGTACCTCATATAAGTGGAATGATATAGTCTTTTGTCATTTTGTGACTGGCTTATTTCACTTAGCATAATGTCCTCAAGGTTCATTCATGTTGTAGTATATTGCAGAATTTTCTTCCTTTTTAAGACTGAGTAATATTCTATTGTATGAATATATACTACATTTTGCTTATCCATTTATCCATAAATGGACACTTGGGTTGTTTCCATAGTTTAGTTATGTGAGTAATGCTGCCATGAACATGGGTGTACAGATACCTCTTCAAGACCCTGCTTCAAATTTTTTTTGGATATGTACCCAGAAGTGGGATGGTGGGATCATATGGTAATTCTGTTAATAATTTTTTGAGGAACTGCCTTACTGTTTTCAGTAACAGCTACACCATTTTAGATTCCCACCAACAATGCATAAAGGTTCCAGTTTCTCCACCTTCATATCTTTGCCAATACTTGATATTTTCTGTATTGTTTTTTAAATAGTTTTTTTTTTTTGATAGTTGAGAGCTTGTTTGATTTCTCTGTTAATAGGTTTTCCTCCACTCATTTACATAAGAATGCTCAACAAATGACACCACGGTATTTCTTTATTGCAAAACAAACAAACAAAACAAGGGGAAGACCCCCTCAGGGTCTAAAATACTGTTTGTTTTGGTTTTTAATTTCATAAATATTTTACCTTATTCAAAATAAATACATGGTCATTGTTTAACAAACACAGGGAAAGCCAAAGAGGAAATGTATTCTTCATCACACTAGTGAGAGGGAATTACAGTTAGTGATTTGGTAGATATCCTACTTTTTGTTTTTATTTTTAAACTTCTGCATGTATGAGTATATACATCACATACGTGCATACTCATGCACTCTTTTTGTTTTGATTTAATGGGGTCATATATTTTGCAGTCTGACCTTTTTCTTTCTTTCACATGACAATATGTTATGACACTTTCTTTTTAAAGAGAAGCTAGTGCTAAGTCTTGAGAATGTGACACACTTAAGCTAGTATTAATGTTTGAAGTGAAGCAGAAGTGACTCATTATGCATGGTTGCTAAGTTTTTTCGATAGAGTGGTGCTGTGACTACCTAAGTTACATGCCCTCTAAGTAAGTTACTGATAACTTTAGCAAAGAAAAATGGTACTTATCTTTAACTCCAGTGCCTAATGACTGACTGTGACATTCATTTTAAACTGGTTTAAGTATGTAATTGTTCTGGGAGGATTTTAAAATCTTCACTATTGACTCCAATTACTGATATGTCAAGAGTTTACTGACTATGCAGAGGATGCTGATAGAACAGGATTTTAATGTTATGGCACAGTCTGGTTGCTTTGATCTGATTATTGAAGGCAGCACTGTGATGCTGAGCACCTATAGTGGGCTGAGTGTTGGGTACATTATCTCATTTACCCCTCATCACAAACCTTTTCAGTTTTAAGGTATGTGCTAATGAGGAAATAGAGGCACAGAGAGGTTAAGGTACTTGCCTAAGGTCACAAAGAGGTGAAGCCATGCGGGACTATTCTTTTTTTAATCTTCACCCAAGGATATATTTTTATCGATTTTTAAAGGGAGAGGGAGAGAGAGGGAGAGAAAGAAACAACAATCAGGTTGTCTTCGCTTGGGATCAAACCCGAAACCTAGGTATGTGTCCTGACCGAGAATCGAGCCCACAACCTTTTGGTGTATAGCACGACACTCCAGCCAACTGAGTCACCTGGCCAGGGCAGGACTGTTTTTTTAAGGAAGGTGTTTTGCCCTTAGTGCTTGTATTTGAGGTTGAGAACAAGTACTTCAGTGCTGTCATGGACTGATACTTGTAATCCATGCAAATTGTCTTAGGCTGTTTTATGAGTGTGCTTCCTGATTGATGTTTGAACAACTCTATTTGATCATTTTGGTAATTGTTTATCATTCTTAGCCTTAACTTGTCTATTAGAATAGCTTCATTGCTAATGAGGAAAAGTACATTTTTTACCTGAGATCTTTTGTTTGGCGTTCAGGGATGATTTTAGAAACCTGGCTAAATACGTTCCTTATTTTTAAAAGGGACACCACTACAGATTAGAAGGGTAGGCTGTGTGTTGCAAGCCAAAGATTAAAATGCAAATATTCTTTGGTCTTAATTAATTTTACTGAGTAGGAGATTATACTCTTGGGAACTATTTTTAAAATATGACATTTAAAAACATTTAGCAGCATTGACATTAAATTTGAGACCTTATCACAATAAGGAAAGTATAATGAAGTCTAACTTTGAGCAGATCTCTGAATGTGTTTCTAGGGTGAATCTAAAGAGCTATTTCTTTAAAATAGCTTGATTTGGGGGGGGGGTTAGTCAGCTGTTTTGAATTATTTTCTGCATATCTGATTCTGTTTAGTTGGTATTTATAGAGGATATAATGGTACAGTTCTTGAGGGCACGTTTGGAAACTTTAAAAAATATATTTTTATTGATTTTTAGAGAGAAAGGAAGGGAGAGGGAGAGAGAGAAACATCGATGTAAGCGCAGAACACTGATCTGCTGCCTCCTGCACTTCCTCTTCCTGGGACTGAGCCCAAACCCTGGGCATGTGCCCTGAACGGGAATCAAACCATCAACCTTTTGGTGCATGGGACAACGCCCAACCAACTGAGCCACATTGGCCAGGGCAGAAACTTTTTAACAACTTTAAAAAAACTAAATTTTAATTTTTTAGAAACATCACTAACAAAGAATGCTATAAAAGCTGCCTGTGATAAAGATCTCTAGTAGAGAGGCCCAGCCCCTTGACAGTAATCCTGCACTGAGGGCTCCATGAACCATTTAGGCAGGGAGCTTGGTGCTTGAGGACCATTTTAGACCATGTGTTTTTAAAGCTCTGAGCCATATTGTCTTTGATGGATCTGGGCAGTCTTTGCAGCCTGGACTGAGAGTCTGGTTCCTTTATTGGCTCCTGAAACAATTCAAGGAATATTGCAATTGTCCTCAATGTAACTTCACTTGATGAAGAAAAGTAAAAGTAAAGCTTTTCTGTACTTTATCTGGCTGATTATATTATTCCATCACACAGCACACATTTGTATTTTATTTTTTTACCCTCACCTGAGGACATTTTTGCATTTATCTTCAGATAAAGCAGGAGGGAGAGAGGGAGGAAGAGAGAGAAACATAGATGAGAGAGTCACATCAACTGGTTGCCACCCACAAGACCCAAACCGGGGCTGGGGATAAACTGCAACTGAGGTACATGCCCTTAGCAGGAACCCAACCCAGGACTCTTCGGTCCGTGGGCCGACACTTTAACCGCTGAGCCAAACCAGCCAGGGCCACATTTGAATTTTAAAATGATGCTGCAACTAGTGATGAGTATGTGGGATGGTGAGCCAAAAAGACCAGTTTGCAGCCAAGTAGTAGCTGTGCTCAAAGACTAGTGTGCAGTTGGTCAGGCCTCCTGGTACTCTCCCATCTCCCACTCTGAATCTTGCTGATCAGCAGTTGTACTATCTGGAATAGAAATAGTCAAAACTTCTATGAGGCCAAAGAGCTGTCACAAAGTCCACAGAAGAACTCTCAGAACCTCCTCCAAAGTCTGCTTGTTCTTAATGTTTGGGAATCCATAGCTGATGCATAGCAGCAAATAGGAAAAAGGTTGCCACAGGCATTCAACACAAAGTGACATGTGAATGTGTGAAAGTCCGGAGGAACACTAACATGTTAATAGAAGCTATTGTGACTTAAAACATGGGTAAGTTAACTGAAGGCAGAACCTCGTGTATGCTGCAGAGTCCAAGGGCATCACTATCAGCAACACCCCTGGGGTGATAACCTTCTGAGGGTTTTATTTTGGGTGATTAGTTAGATACTCTGGGCTGGGGACCCTGGGGAAGAGTGGATTTGAGCATGGGGAGAATTTAGAGTCAACACATTGCAGTTGAGATATTTGTTTTTGCTGAGCATTCTTAGCAAGTTGAATGCTCCTTCTCCAAGAATGAGAAGTCACTTTGCCAGGAGTATACTTAATTCAGTGCCATTCCTGCACACCAATGTTT